AAAAGTAATAAGTAATATTGCACATTGTAAACTAGTAGTACAGCAGATAATACTGCACATAGATAGCATTCAAAGCAATTCAGATAGCATTCATACACTTTTTTTAGATAGCAAATATATATTTTAAATACTTATTTATGATTTCAATTTTATTTACTTGTCATTTTAATGATTTTTTTATTATCAATAAAAATACAGTTTATAGCAAAATGATTAGCCCTCTGGGTTTGCTTTATTGTTTCCTAAATATTTACCAAGCGCTGTTTAACAGACAATAATGACACATTTTTAAACATAATAGTTCTAAAAGCTATTTTTTGCCTTTGCTATACTGACAGTTCGTCATAACTTTTGTTGAATAAGTAATACAAGTATAAACAACAAAATAAGCAATATTGCACATTGTAAATTGGTAGTAAAATAAGTAATATTGCACAACAATTGCAGATAGTATACCAAGCAATAAATGTTCATACACTTTTTAGACGGCAATATATATATATATTTCATATGCTTTCATAAATTTTTTTTACAATTTCAATTTTATTTACGTGTTTTTTTAATGATTTCTTTATTTACCATCAATAAAAATACAGTTAAAGGCAAAATATACATTTTAATCTATCTATCCATCCATCCATCCATCCATCCATCCATCCATCCATCCATCCATCCATCCATCCATCCATCCATCCATCCATCCATCCATACATCCATACATCCATACATATATACATATATATATATATACACATATGTACACACACACACACACACACACACACACACACACACACACACACACACACACACACACACACACACATACACATATATATATAACAAAATAATTATTATTAATAAAGAAATGTTTTAATACCAATTTTTCACCAAAATGGCAAATATATACTTAATAGGTTTTATATTTTAACCTGTTTAATGAATAAATACATATTAAACTAATCATAAAACAGAGAATGAAAGCACAAATAATGCTATCCAATGTTTTTAGTTGAATGAACTACTGCTTTTAATCACGCCAGCTTTGTTGATGCTCTCACGAGTGTCATTTAATTAATAATTTTGTGTTTGTATTGACCTTATTCAGCAATGCAGAAGTGCCCTTGTTTTTGCGATTGTATGAGAACTTCCGATAAGGCATTTGCAGAAGAAGTTTTAATTTTCAGCAACCCGGTTAAAGCACTTCAGGTGAACTGTGTGTCGTTATAAAAATCGATGTGTTTAACGTCTGTTTTTCTTAAAAATTAATAATATTCACTGCCTGATTGATATAAAAAATAGAGTGGGTATCAGAATGTACAAGAAGCACTGCATTAAAACACAATTTTTCCACAGCATGTCTTTAAAATATAAAAATGTATTTTAATCCAATATTTTCTGGAGTTACTGCGCTACTCTGCTGACGGCATGAGCATATAAATGGCTTTTCATCTCGTTTTACACTTGAACAACTAAATGAATGCTTGAGTCTATTTAACTGATTATATGTTAATTGCATTACAACATTAATGCAGTAAAAGAAACTGCATAAAACAGAAAAAAAAGTCACATCAATAATTCATCGGAAGTTTATTGGTAGGGGAAAAACACTAGCTGCGCATATACCCTTTTCAGTTGCCTATGGAAGAAATGACTAGGAATGATTTTTAATGTCTTAAAATTAATGAAAGTGAATGAGGCCGGAAGTTTGGAGCCAAAAAAGATTCCAATGGCTGTGCCCAATCGTACGTGAAGAACAAGGTCAATAACATTGGTAGCATTTTTGGATTGTTAAAGAAACAGGAAGCTGAATATGGAGCTCTGCGGGGGAAAAGGATAACAGCAGTATTGAAGCTCAGTGTTTGGTCTGGCTGCAGGGCTGCAGGTAGATGAAGCATGGTAAATGTATATCGAGTGACAGTTCAGACTCTCTCAAGTGAAGAACTGGCAGACTGGAGAGTGAAACATGAATCAGGATGCAATAAAAGCCAGGATAGAGCAATACTCTCACTCTCTGCTCTCTGTTGCCTGCTTGACTGCACAACTAACACATCCCTGTACAGTCAGAATCAATTTCGTTGAAAGGAACACTTTTTCATTTTAGGAAATAGGCTCATTTTACAATTGCCCTAGAGTTATACAGTTAAGTTGTACTTACTCAACTCATTCAATCATTTATTTTCCTTCAGCTTAGTCCCTTATTTATCAGGGGCCGCCGCAGCGGAATGAACTGCCAAATAATCCAGCATATGCTTTACATAGTGGATGCCCTTCCAGGCGCAACCCAGTACTGGGAAACACCCATTAACTTTTGCATTCACACACACACACACACACACACACACACACACACACACACACACACACGCACACACACACACACGCACACACGCACACACGCACACACGCACACACGCACACACGCACACACGCACACACGCACACACGCACACACACACACACTCACACACTCATACACTCATACACTCACACACTCATACACTCATACACTCATACACTCATACACTACGACTAATTTAGATCATCCAATTCACCTATAGCGCATGTCTTTTGACTGTGGGGAAAACCAGGGCACCTAGAGAAAACCCACGGCAACACGAGGAAAACATGCAAACTCCGCACAGAAATGCCAACTGGCCCAGCTGAGACTCAAACCAGTCACCTTCTTGTTGTGAGGCGACAGTGACTAACCACTAAGCCATCGTGACACCCAACTTAACTATTATTATTAATTCATTATTATTATTATTAACTATTAAAAACAATCGGTTACTAATTAGATAATTACAATTGTAATTAATTTACTTTTCTAATTACTTTGTCTGCAAATTTATTTCCTCAATAAGTAAATTAATGACTCAATGCTACTTAAAATCCTGATGAATCGATTAAAAATCGTTATAAATACAGGTCACGGTTTCGGTATCATACGGGATGTACTATGTTTAGAAAAAAAATTCAAAGAACAATAAACATATTAATTGGGTAACAAACACCTGACAATACAACAGGCTTCACACATATGGCAGTAGATTTGCATGTTCTCGCATTAATTAAATAAAAGTAGGGCATTTTGAAAACTGAATGTTTAAATAAAATTAAAAAATAGAGTAAAAGCTTAAATGTCCTCTTTTTCCAATTTACATATTGACTCAGTTTATAATTCTAATAATTGTCAACACATCTTAATAATTGAGCACTTTACATTATGCTTGCATTAACAAGACAACTACATTTTTGGTACCAGTGATTCCAGAGAGCTCAGTTATCAGTACCATCATAGTAAATGAAACTTAAGCAAAGTGAGACCGTTCAGCTCTTCTCTCTTAATTCAGCATGAACAGTACATAGAGAAGAAAAGTTTTCTTTGCAGACAGCGGGTAAACAGAATGAATATATAGTGGGAGTGATCGGGTGCGGAATTGTAACGCATGTGCACAACTGTAGGCTGTATGTCTGAGTCTATATGGGACACCTTTGGGTCGCTGATGGAACCTCGATCCACCACTGGTTGTGATCACTGACCTAGGCTATCCTTGCAATGGCAACATTTTTTCGAATTATTATTAGGAAATTATTGCCATTATTTTTGTGTCTGTTGAAACACTCACGGCAGTGTGCGGTGTTTTGGCCTCACCTATGCGTTTGCACTTTATCTCCTTCACTTGCCATACAGAAACACACAGAAACTCTACACACAGCGACACGTGAGAAAACATTATATATATTTAATTACCTAAAATTAAAAAGATCTTATCCACTGAAAAACTAAAGTAAAGGTTAAGCAATGTATTTACAGTAACTAATTGCTTTGTAACTTATTACACCCAACAATGCTGCCAACAAACATTTAATCCAAGTTACACATCGCAATGACAGGTAGCGCAAACTTTGTGATTGGTCAGCTGGTATTGGTGACAAATGTGGGTGGTGCTTAGAGCCACGAGCCCGATGGAGCAAGTGTTTACAAGTCTCAAGTCCTGTGAAGGAGCTCAAAATCAAAACTTTTGTTTTGTGTTTACCTAATAATTTAAAGTTGTTGCACGTCCGCCGGTTCCTGCCTCTGAATGAGCTAATTTAAAGACAGTACTTGTATATTAAGATACATTTTGCGTTTGTTTACTTTTTTTTTTAACCTCTCCAAAGAAACGAGACACAGAGGAACATAAAAACCTACTACCTGCTAACGTTTTGGAAGTGTTATTGCAGAGCAACACAAACAGCATGCTAAAGTATAAATCCATGACTATGCACAAGGCAGGCGCCATGTGTCACGCTGATCACTCGACGCAGAACTATAAAACAACCTCAATGTGTAAGATATTCAACTTTTCAATTTTCAATTTAATTTCATCTATATAGCACATTTAAAAACAACAATCATTGACCAAAGTGCTTTACAATGTCAGAAAAATAAATAAATAAATAAATAAATAAATAAATAAACATGTATCGTACTAAAAAAACTCAACTTGAAGTGAACACAAAAGGTATACAAGTGTGTCTTAAGCAAGACCAACAGTTTGAGCACTTCTTATACGAGTGGGAAACCTCTTCCATAAATTTGGAGCAGCCACAAAAAAAGGCTCGGTAACTTTTTTTTTTTTCAAACTTTGCCCTCTGAACATCTAGGAAAACCTGATTTGATCACATCAGAGCTTTAACAGGTGTGTAAATCTGTAGAATGTGTAAAGGCTCAGTCAAATAAGCTCAGTAAAAGAGTTGCAAATCCCCCAAAGAAAATCAGCAAAAACTCAACATAATTATTTATCTAAACATAACTAAACAATTTCCATTTTAATGTGTGACTCAAAAGACCAAATCACTGAATTACAGAATACTATCACTCATTAGAATTTCTCAATCCTAAAATTGGCATCAGCATTTTAAACTGAATGTATTGTATTGCTCTAACAGAGAACCGCAGAGCACTGATATAAGATGCGTGTGATGAAGCCGTGATGTGTGCAGTCTCTCACCTCCTCCATGTGTTGTGTAGGGTGGGCCAGGAGAGTGGATCCGAGCCGGGACTCCAGCAGAGAGCACTGACAGAAGCCCACGCTGCCTGTGTGGAGAGAGTCTGTCACTGCACTGCGGCCTTCAGACAGATCCCACACGCACACCCGCATGTCCCGACCCTGACTGGCACACAAACGCAGACCCTTAAAATAACAGATTTATCTGTATCTATTTCCCTGAGGGGGAAAAAAAGAGGAACATGAAATGCAGAGCCTGGATTAAGGTCACAGTGCAAATCTGAATAAAATAAAATGCACTTAATAATAAATAATAATACCAATTGTAAACATGTAGTAAAATAAGTAATAAAGAACGTACATCACTTTTTTAACAACATGGTAACTATATTCTTAATATACTTCATTTTTAGCCAATTTAAATTGTATGCACTTAGTATTTTTATGATATATAATTTATTGTATATTAAAATACATATAATTAAAAAAGAGATGGTGTGGACCTGCGTGGGCGTGAGCTAGAAACAGAAAAATAATATATGTTGAGAGGTGCATGTACGTATGTGGCAGAGTTTGCTTAATTTGGACAAAGATGGACAAACTAATTCATTTTAAAGAAACTTAGTCTTTGAAAACATTTCTTTCTTTAAATGTTATAAACAAAACATCTGGATCTGGTCGGATATCAGGAAGAATTGTTTGTTCTTTAAAATTGCTCATTGTAATCTGGTGTTTCAATATTACATTCAGAGCTTGTCCATGCTGAATATAACTTTAATAAAATAAATCATTTTTATAGATGGCAGTACTGTCTTACATACACTCATCAGCCATTTTATTAGGTACACCTTACTAGTACTAGGTTGGACCCCCTTTTGCCTTCAGAACTGCCTTAATCCTTTGTGACAGATTCAACAAGTTTCAGGAAATGTTCCTCATAGATTTTGGTCCATATTGACATGATAGCATCATGCAGTTGCTGCAGATTTGTCAGCTGCACATCCATGATGGGAATCTCCAGTTTCACCTCATCCCAATGGTGCTCTATTGGATTGAGATCTGGTGACTGGAGGCCATTTGAGTTCAGTGAACTGAAGAAACCAGTCTGAGATGATTCACACTTTATTACATGGCACGTTTTTATGCTGTAAGTAGCCATCAGAAGATGTGTACACAGTGGTCATAAAGGGATGGATATGGTCAGCAACAATACTCAAGTAGGCTGTGGCGTTGACACGATGCTATATTGGTACTAATTGGTAGCCTCAGTTTCCTGTTCTTAGCTGACAGGAGTGGAACCCGGTGTGGTCTGCTGCTGCTGTAGCTCATTCATTTCAAGGTTCGATGTGTTGTGCATTCAGAGATGCTCTTCTGCATTCCTCGGTTGTAACGAGTGGTTTTGAGTTCCTGTTGCTTATCAGCTCAAACCAGTCTGGCCATTTTCCTCTGATCTCTGGCATCAACATAGCATTTGTGCCAACAGAACTGCTGCTCACTGGATATTTTCTCTTTTTCAGACCATTCTCTGTAAACCCTAGAGATTGTTGTGTGTGAAAATCCCAGTAGATCAGCAGTTTCTGAAATACTTAGTCCAGCCCGTCTGGCACCAACAATTATGCCGCATTCAAAGTCACTTAAATCCCCTTTCTCCCCCATTCAGATGCTCAGTTTATTCTGCGGCAGATCGTCCTGACCATGTCTACATGCCTAAATACATCAGGTTGCTGCCATGTGTTTGGCTGATTAGAAATTTGCGTTAACAAGCAGTTGGACAGGTGTACCTAATAAAGTGGCCAGTGATTGTACAGTCCAAACATAAACAAAAGCATAAAAACTCAAATTCTGGTTAAAATGAAAAGTTAGATCAAATTTAAATGGGAAAAGACTTCCAAAATTCCAATCAAATCTTATTGTAAAGTGCCTAAAGGTTCCCACCCCTAATGATCATGTGATAATGATGTCCAGTTTGACAGGCATGGGTGACACTTCTTTCCCCCACTCTCCTCTACCTGATGAGGCAGCTTCTGCTGTTGTTGAAGGTGTTAAGCCAGATTACAGAGTTCCCAGCATGGCTCTCTAAAACACGTTCTGCTCTCCTGGTGCTCAGGTTCCACACATGGACTGCACCTTTACCTGACCTAAACCACACAAACACGAAGATCACATTAAAGGGATAGTTCACCAAAAAATTCCAATTAACTCACGATTTTCTCAACCCTCAAGTGGTTTCAAACTTTAATGAATTTCTTTCTTCTGTTAAACACAAAAGAAGATATTTAAAAAAAAAAGCCTTGAACAAGTAAATGGTGGGTTAATTAAAGATTTTTTAATTTTGGGTGAACTATCCCTTTAAAAAGAGGGTGTTAAATGTATAGTTCACCCAAAAATGAACATTGTCGTTATTTATTCACCCACCAAGCTTGTATGAATTTTTTTTCTTTTGCTCAATATCAAATAAGATCCTTGACAAATGTTAACCAGACAATTGTCAGTACCCACTAATACACAATTACACAGTTTGTTTTTTACTTTGGAAGTCGATGGGTACCTTTAACTGTTGATTTAACTGTAAAAGCTCAGTAAATGTTGATCTTTCTGTGAGCTATTCTACCATAAGGGGAAAAAGTCATTTAATACTTTAGTACCAACCCAGAGTAGAGAAGTGGTGGTCCATCTCCATCACAGCAGAAGTGAAGCGCATTCACTGAGGCACCCGAACCCCTCAGGATGTACAACGGGTCAGGAGGAGGACGGGCCATCACCACAGCAAATGCAACATCCCTGATATGTATCCTACAGAAACTAAATAAATAAAGCTAAAATTAATGGCAATAGCAATAAGCGGTCCATAAATTCTTCACTAAAGGATTAACAAAAATAAACAAATAAATAAAAATAAAAAATATATAAATAAAAAAATTTTGATAAACAAAAAAGTAAATAAACAAGTAAAAAATTAACTAAAGGAAAAAGTAATTAAATAAATAAGAAAGTAAAAAAAATTAAATAAGTAAATTAGTAAGAAAGTAAATAAAAATAAAATTAAAAAGTAAATAATTAAATGAGTAAATAAGTAAATAATTAAGTAAATTAATTATAAGTGTAAATTAAAAGTAAATAAAGAAAAAGTAAATAAAAGTAAATAAGTAAACATGTAAATAAATAAGTAAAACAAATATGTTGAAAGTCTTATTTGCTTTTTTTGGCTAGAATAAAGGCAGTTTTTAATTTTTTTTTTTTTAATTGGGACTAAATTATTAGCCCCTTTAAGGTTATTTTTTCCCCCCGATAGTCTACAAAACAAACTATCATTATACAATAACTTGCCTAATTACCCTAACTTGCCTAGTTAACCTAATTAACTTAGTTAAGCCTTTAAATGTCACTTTAAGCTGTATATAAGTGTTTTGAAAAAATATCTAGTCAAATGTTATTTATTGTCATCATGGCAAAGATAAAATAAATCAGTTATTAGAAATAAGTTTTTAAACTGTTATGTTTAGAAATGTGTTGAAACAATCTTCTCTCCTTTAAACAGAAATTTGGGGGGGGGGAGAAAATAAACGGGAGCTAATAATTCAGGGGGGCTAATAATTCTGACCTCAACTGTACATGAGATGTATGATTATAGATTATATAAATGTATTAGAGATGTATGATTATTGCACAAAAATATGTACATTTAAAGCATGCAATTTTACACACTTAAAGTTACTTAATTTTTAACTTGAATGCACATATAAATACATATAATATATCAAAGTATTTATAAACAAATATTTGACAAACCTGAAACCTGGGTTTTTAAAACTAAATTGTGCATGTCTGATAATGAATACTGTTAATCAATGATTATACATATAAATACACAAATAATTAAGGTTAAACATAAAAAACATAACATAACATAACATTGTTTAAATAATTTCTAAAAGAGAGAAATCAGGGCAGCAATATTTTTAATTTTTGGCCTAAATAGAAATGACAAAATGGCAGATACATATAAATCATGGGAAACAAAAAAATATATATTAATAATACAATAAAATATGACTAGAGTAATTTATCGACCACCTGACCAGCAATGGTGGCATTTGTTTTCACAACTTTCACATAACTATTAGCATGAGCCCATATGTAAACACTGACATCGCTCGGTTAACACTGTAAACACTAAATGCCTTTAGGCGAAAGGAAGACGTGATCATGTCATTTTTTTTTCCTTATCTACCTTCTTCTTTGTGAAACCTCTTACTCAATACGTCATAAATCATGAGTGAGACAGCTTAATTACTGTAAACAGGCTGGAATCTGTCTTTTTCAATTTTTATTTTCATCAACAGCTAACAAAAAAAAAAAAAGCATTTCAAAGCACACGCGAGCGCAAACGGCTCTGCTGACTTCAGGGAGGGCCACAGTCGAGATGCAACAGACCGCAAAAAAATCTAGATGGAAATTAGATAATTAGATGTCAGTGACAAATCCCTTTCAAACGGCCGCAAAGAGCTAAATCTGTTGATGTCTTCATAAAAGAAAACATTAAAAACTTGACACATTGATGTGGTTTTAAACCTGTAGGATGGCTCAACCGACTTTAGAATTGTTTCTGATGCTTGCTTGACTGAGAAGTTTCATAATCAACCAGAATAAATATATATTTAAATAGATTCACCATAAATTGTCATCAATTTTGGCTCATTTCCACTAGAGGGTTGTCATGATTAGGGTTGGGCTGAGAGACGATGCCACCGTCCATCACCGATGGCCAATAGACAACACGATGCTGAGCCGGCACACTCAGGCCCCATTTACACTAATACATCTTAGTGTTAAAATTGCATTTTAGAACGAAAGTGATCCACATCCACGCCGTGTTTTACCTAGCATTTCTGAACAGCCCTTCGTGTGCTGAAATCGCACATCACGTGACTACACACTCTCACACAGCCACACAAACTGTCATGCGCTGGTCTGAGCTTCAGTGAGCATTGCATATCGGACAATTTATCAAGGATGTACCGCTGGATAGCGTCTCACTATAGTTGTTAAACGTGATATTCAGACATCCCAAGTCTCCCGGAAGTGCCGGGAGTCTCCCGCAAATGCTTAGAGACTCCCTAATGCCTGCAAATGAGTGATAATCTCCCAGAAATCTTGTGTCTCCCTCCCAGTTCTCAAATAAGTCCCTCACCACCGGATCCCTCGTCGCTCTTCAGATGCGTCGCGTGCACTCTGTTAAACACCGCCGCCAACCCGCTTTTCACATGACGACGATGCCATCGTCCATCACGATGTTTCACATTAGACATCGTATGATGCAAAATTATTCGACATCGCCTAACCCTAGTCACTATAATGGAATTCTGTACCAATCGATACTAAAGTTTTAAAAACGTGTAACCACAGGGGACACTGGAGTGTTTCAAAGTCATGTCGATGAGCTGGTTTGTCTATAAGCTGACATACCAACGATCCCCTGATGAATTGCGGCTTTAAAATGCTCAAGTATCCCTGTATTTGTGGTTATTAGGGCTGTGTGATTAGGGGAAAATATGTAATTGCAATTTTTTGACATATTGTGATTGCGATTTGATTTACAATTAAAGCTTAAAGCTGATTTTAGTTTAATTTAAGCTTCAGATAAACAATCTGTAAGCCATGGTAACAATTCTGTGACAGCTCTTAAAAATGACCTGTTTTTGTTCTGTGTCTGTGACTTAACCATAATATTCCCATATTACCAATGCTGTTTTTCTTTGATATTAATTCATCTATTAATGCTTCTAAAGCAGGAGATGGCACAATCCCACTTGTCAGCACTTTCCTGTTTGTTTGTTTTTTATTTATTGTGGTGTAGTTCAGTTGTGCAATTCTGATTGGGCAGAACGAAAGTGTGCTCACTCAATTGGCTAGTTATAAAGCCCCGGTCAGATCACACGATTTTTGCCACTATTTCCTTGACGAGGATGTTGTGGGGAGTTGCAAGCGACAAATGTCGTACCACAAGATTCAATCGTTTCTTCTCATGTAATGTGGCATACTTCATGACAACCAATACCATGTCTGCCGATACTATCGCAGAAAGACTAACATGCGTAATTTTCATCTTTCCAGAGCCGAAAAAAGGGAAAAAAAAGCAAGCTCAAAGTAAATGTATGTACTGCTATAATACATTATTTAGTTTATCTTGCCTAGGGCCCCTCAACCCTAAGGGCCAGCACTGACTTTACTACATGCAATATGAAAATGGCATGCTATGTTGCTTGAATGTTTTGACAACATTTTGGACTTCTTAGGACAGTATATGGAGGATGAGGGATCTGTGTGATTTCATCAAAAACATTTTCATTTGTGTTCCGAAGAGTATAAGCTCTCAGGGGATTGCAATGACATACTGGTGAGTAATTAATAACATTATTTTTATTTCTAACTAACCCTTTAAAGCATCCTAAAATAATCCCTCTTTATTATGCCTTTCATTTTTCGAAAAACACTTGATAGGTTTATTTGCAACCACAATGAATCACTTCTTTTATCCCTGATTTTAAGTCACTTTAGATAAAATAAACAAAATTTAATGTAATCCAAAATGGAATAACTGGGATTAAGGTGTTTACATGCATGTTAATTGCAATAAAAAAAATTATGTACTGTGCATAATATAAAGCATATGGATAGTAAAATTATAAGCTCAACTGAATTAGTGTGATTGGAGTATTGTATTCACAATACATTTTATTGCAAAGCTGACAAAACTTCAATCTAATCACATAATGAGTGTGCCTGTAAACATTGCCATTTTTTACATGTAAATAAATGCCTAAATTAAATCTGCAAATCATATAAAGATGTCTTTAGAAGACTTTAAAGAGCCCTATTACGGGTTTTTGAAAATGACCTTCCATGCAGTGTGTAACAGCTCTTAGAAAAGTGAAATATACAGCTAAGGCTTAAACCTGAAAGTGCACCGTGTTTAAAACTATTGACTCATCTATAAAAGTCAACTAGTGGTTCGAATTAAACGGATGTAACGAGTATATAGCCATGTGGGTGTGACATTAATATGGAAATCAAGCCCCGCCCATTTGTTGCATGCTCAGATCCTTGAAAATTTAAACCCCCAGCCCCGCCCACAAACACCGAAGAAAGAAACGGAAGACAAACACTGTAGCAGATCCTGTCTAAATCAAGTCGCAGAGACGCTGTGCTCTGAATTGTGAGGGAAAATTAGTGTTACTTTCCCTACCCAAAGATGAGGCTGTGAAGAGTCAGTGGTTGAAGTTTATTTTTGCAAAAATACCTCAGCATCTGACCGTCAGCCGTTAGTTAAAGGAAGCATCAGAAATTACTATTGATGTATGTACACAGTTCATACGAGTACGATAAAAAAGTTGCCTCCTTGTTTTCTCTAGCCTGCAAACTATGTCTTTAATTGTGTTTTGTTACTTGTAACTGCTTGTACTGTATCTGGTTAACTCTTCATCTTGTCATATCGTGTCTAAACACAACGCATGCTTTATTTATGGATTTAAATGCATTTGTGAGCTCGCAATCTTCTGCCATTTGCCATTGCTATGGCCATCATCAGCTGTTTCTACACACATGTAGAAACAGTTTTAAAACAGTTCAGCTTTTGCCACCTTGTGGATTAATATTAAACGTGTCACATGGTTAGGAATAGAGTAATAAGATGGTGTTTAACTGCATTGCTTTAATGCACTCCTGTATTGGGCTCACACATACACACTGCACCCTGACTTGTTGATAAGTTGTGGTCGACATTTCTTTCTTTCTGTCACACT